CGGCGGTCGTGGGTCACTGATCTGGTAGCCTGGATGTGCTGGGGTGGGTTCGGGGTGGGCGCGGGGGCTTGGGGTTCTAAGGGCTTGTCGCCCCCGGGCTTGGGCCTGTGGGGATTGGGGATCTTGGGCTCTGGCGGGCGGGTTGCCAGGCTCTGGGCAGGCTTGCGCTCTGGTGCCCGGTTCTGGGCAGGGGCCTTCAGCTCGCTGGTAGGTTGTGGGTTCAAGGGCTGTGGGATTGGGTGTTTGGGGGAGTGACCAGTGGCCCCTAAGAGGGGGTAGTTTGACCCAGCCTAGGTGTCTAGTGTGCTATGTGTTTTGAGAGATGTCCGAATGAGGGGTGGGTGTAGTATTTCTTCTGGGGTGGGGACTGGGTGGATGTCCTTGGGGGCGGCACGGGACTGTGCATGGCCGACTGGCTGGCCCCTTTCCTGTGGTGGGGGCTCGCTCCCAGTGCTTCCTGGCTCTGTAGGCGGTTGAGCGGGTGCTCTTGGCCGGGTCGTCCTGGTGGGGTTTGGCTTCATCTGGTGGCAGGCTGACTGCAGTTTGTGGGGGTCTTGGCGGCCCTCGGGTGTGTGGACCGCTGGTACTGCTTCTGGCGGCCCTTGGGGCTCTGTCCCTCTCGGGTCTGGAGCTCAGCGGGCCTGGCGGTCGGTCCAGATGGAGAGGTGTCTTGGCCTCAATCCCTGGGTGGACCTTGGGGAACTGGAGGGGGGGGGGGCTGTTGGGTCAGTGGCGGAGCTGACTCCCTGTGGGAGCATTTGCTCTTACAGTTATATTTCTCCCTATCCCTCACCATGCACCTCCACCCTCTTCATTTCAATTCCACACATTTAGGGTTGTTTGGGCTCGGGTGTGCTGCAACAATTTTACATCTCTGTTGACCATAGCCACCTGGGACTCAATTTTATTGTACACCTTAGATATTCACTCATAACATCCTCATTGTGACATTCACATATAGGAACTTGAGGTGGGCACTATGGCTATGGGTGGTGGGATGACTTTACTCTCGCCCCCTGTGCCTGTGCTCACTTACAATGGTTGCATTTAGACACTAGGATTTGGATAGAGTTAGGGTGGAGGGGAAACTGGCAACATGCCAGCCTTTGCTCCTTCTTCTTTCCTTTTTAATGGCACTATACAACAACACACATCAACAGCACATCTAGGGGCGGGGGTGTATGTGTTGGGGTCTTATTCTTTTTTTTTTTTTCCTCACCCCCTTGGTTCCCTAACTGCCATTCCGGGGGTGGGGTCCGGGAGAAGGGCAGGCCGTCGGGTGTTGACCAGGACTATGTGGGGGTTCAGGGTCTGGGGGATTGCCGTGGGCGGTTCTGGCGCTGTGCTCTCCCTGGGGTTGTTTGGATCCCCTGAGCTTGGCTCTTGGGTGCCATGGTTGGCCCACTGAGGGTGGCTGCCGGTGCCTGGCGGGCGGTTGTCTGGGGGCACGTGCTTGGTTGTTGGCGGTGTGTGGGGGTGGGCGGTGGCGTGACTTCTTCGTGCCGGGGGGTGTCCTGTCGGCTGGGCGTGGCCTGGGCCGGGTCTGGGATATTGGCTCCTCTCCGCTCGAGAATGAATGGGTCTACCTCCTGGGTTTGGGCATGGGCTGCCCCTTGTAGAGGGCGGGTACATGTCTTGGACCTGGGGGGTATAGAGTGCGTATCGGGAATAAGAATGAAATGTATCGTTATTGTATGTCTTTGAGTGAGTGAGTGTGAGAATGAGGCTGGGACTGTGTGATTGTGTCTGTGTATGAATGTGTCTGGGTATTTGTTAGGCCGAGACTCGGACTGCCCCCTCTTTGATACAACTGGGGGTGCTTGGCATCGCGCCCCTATCGCGCGGCCCCCTGGTGGGGTGTCCCCTTGCCTGCCGGCGCGCTAGGGGCCCTTGGTGTCGGGGGCTGGGCGCTTGGGTGTGTGTCGGCTCGGCCTTGTGTCTGCCTGGTGGGGCTCGGGTCCTCTGGCCCTGTCAGGCCTTGGCATGGGTGGTGTGCGTCCTCGGTGCCCGGGCCTCGGTGCCTGGGCCTGGAACTGCATCGGTGCGGCGGGTTCCGGCGGGGGCCTATGAGTTTGTCGCTGTTGGCCCCGGGGGGGTCACTGCATGTGGTCGCTGGTGGGGATCTTCCGGTTCTCCCCTGTGGTCTGATCTGGGGGGTGGGTGAGTGGTTCGTCCTGTGTGGGTGGCCCTGGGGGCTCCGCGGTCGGGGTCCCTCCTGGGGTCTTGGGCTCTGGTCCCCCCTTTTTTGTCTGCCTCTGGTCTTGGTGGTCGGGTCTCTGCTGCTTCACGGTTACTATTAAATGTTCTATTAGAGAAGCCTTATACACTTATGTATGCTCACAACCACACACAAATAGATGCAGGGATGCTTATGTAGGCTTTATATGTAGATATATAGATATATAGATATGTATATGAATGTATATTCATGTGTATGTATGTATGTATATAGGCGTAGGTATGGGTATATATATTTATGGAAACTTACTGCAAAGCCATGAATATTTTAAGTTCTTTATACATATGTATTTTGTTGCTGTGTGTTGTCATGTTCTTTGCAGGTGAACAGACAGTGGCCGGGTGTTTTGCCGTGTGCTCTCTTTGTGTATATTTCTTATATTTTGGAGTCTTACTTTGTCTTTTCTTTCTTTCTATCCTATTAAAAAAATTAAATAAAAAAATAAAAAACCTACACTAGATAATCACTAGAATAAATATTTCATAATGGTGTGGAGAGGATGGCTGTAAGGGGAGAAGGGAGGCCATCTCCAAAAAAAAAAATAAAGTAACAACAAAAAACCATTTCTTTTTTTTAAACGTGCACACAATGATTTGAAGGAAAAAGTTAAAACTGAATGTTAACAGGAAAAGTTACAATAAATGATATGTGTCAAAGTGAATTGTTTTTAGCTTCTTTCTTTTACACGGTCACAGTAAATCTCAGGTAGGATATTACTTTGTATGAATAACTGTTCATCTATGTGGAGGACTGTGTACATCATTTGATCATCTCTGGCTGAACGAGCGTATCCTACTGGGTCCAAATCACAAAGTGGCAGGACTGGACGCCAAACGCTGTGAAGGTGAACTTGATAATAGGATTCATGGTTCTTCTTGAGATGTAATGAACAGCAACTAGTCACCTTTTCAACATCATGTAATAAAATGTATAAAATAAAAAACAAAATAAAAATAACGCACACAGAGGTGGGTCTGACCGTTTTCAATGCACATTTCTCAGTAAAACGAGTCCACATAATCTGTCACGGTTGTAACTTTCATTTTAATCGACTGCTTCTGGTAATAAATAAATATAAAATCTCACATAAGCAACAAATAATCCTGGTCTTGTTTGTGGGTTTTCTTACAGTTTCGTGTTTTTTTGTTGTTTTTTGTGTGTGATTTATTTTTTTCAATCGTCGAGCGAAAAATGTCTTTTTTAATTCAACTTGTCATGTTCACTTTAGCCTGAAAAATATCAGTCAGCCACCAAGACATCGAGTGTATTTATAGTTTTTAATACCAAGAAATCTATCAGAAGAGCTGTGAAGATGGACGCCTCTGTGCACCCTCTCAATTAAGGGGAACAGAATTTCGCACAAGACACTGGCTCTTTCTGCATTACGGCTGCGCGCGCATCCGCCGTGTTGATAAACAAACAATCCGTCTATACAGTGAGGAAAATAAGTATTTGAACACCCTGCAATTTTGCAAGTTCTCCCACTTAGAAATCATGGAGGGGGTCTGAAATTTTCATCTTAGGTGCATGTCCACTGTGAGAGACATAATCTAAAAAAAAAAAATCCGGAAATCATAATGTATGATTTTTTAAATAATTTATTTGTGTGTTACTGCTGCAAATAAGTATTTGAACACCTGCCAATCAGCAACAATTCTGGCCCTCAAAGACCTGTTATTCCGCCTCTAAAAAGTCCACCTCCGCTCCACTTATCAGCTACTACCAAATCAAAATTTAGCTAAATATCTGTAAAAGTGACAGAGTAATAGTCATGTATCTGTCAGGTAATGACAGTTAGCTGTGGCAGCCATCTTGAATTAGACTGACTCTAAGTGTTAGTCAGAGGTAGGGACATCGAGTGATTATTTTCAGAAATTTACAACAAACCCATGGTTAATGAGACATTTCATCCACTTAAGATAAAAGATCTTTTCTTCCAAACTGTGAAAGTGAAGTCAAAATGAAAACAATTTTACACTTCATTACACAACTAGAACATCTGTTGGGAGAGTGGATTTTCAACAGACTTACACATCAGTAAGAAAGACAGTCAACGATTATGCGATTTTAGGGCATAAAACTATAAAATGACACTAGATTAAAAATTATGCTAATCTAGCTTAACGTTTGACAAAAATCTAATGATTAAAAAAAAAGAAAAAGTACAAAATTCAAAGAGTAACAAAAAAATTCTAACAAAAAACATTATTTTTGAATGACGAAGTAAGACGACAGACACTATTATAGTGACATATTGAAGACAAAAACCAACACTGTTACTGCTGTGCAGTCGTAACACAACTCCAGCTTGCAGTCTGACCACCATTAATCTAATTAACACCAGTTAGTAAATGAGTTTGTGTGGGTGTGTGCAGCTGTTGGTGAAAGGTTACACTCCGTTGTTGATACGGTCATCCATCTGTTGGTTGCCACGAGAATGCAGCAAACAAAGTTACAGTTTTATAATGATGGCTTTGGTTCCACCGCAAGAAGGTGTAAGTTGCAGCTGCTGTCAGGGAGATGCGCCAAATCCTGTCAAAAGGGACATGTGGTGTGTGTGGTATATGCCACGTGTGCGAAAGCAAGGGATATGAACTTTTGTGTGCACGTGTGTAAACTTGAGTATAAAGGTGCTTTTTCTGGGTCAAGTTGTGTTTAGGGTGAGTGTGTACACAAAGTATCTTTACACATAAGAGAAATGAGAATCTGGAAGCCTAGACTGGATTATACAGTAGAGTGTGTGTCTGTGTGTGAGACTCACTGTATGTCCCAGCACAACCAGACTGTGGAGAAGTGGCCCCACCCCAACTTTCTGATCACATGGTACCTTCCATTGAACAAATCCCCGATCTTCACCGGATGGTATCCACCTGAGAAAGGTCGCGGAAGAAAGAAGGTGAAGGTTACAAGCACCCATATCTGATAACACTTCAACAAGAAATGTAATGGTGAGTAAATGTAATCGTGAGTAGAAGGGGCATTCATACACAATTCTCCACAAGAACAAAGTCAAAACTGTTTTTGAACGGCTTCAAATGTTTCAAGCAAACTGGGTTTTGATTGGCATCCATTCAATTTAGTACTGTATTTTTGTTTGTTGCTAAAAACAAACAAACAAACAAACAAACAAAACAAAAAAAAACACAGGCTGGAATTATAAAAATACTTTCTGTCCATCCATCTGTCCATTCATCTGTCCGTCCATCCGTCCGTTCATCCGTCCGTCCATCCGTCCGTCCATCCGTCCATCCATCCATCCATCCATCCATCCATCCATCCAATCACCGCTTTAATATGAACAACTTACTGCTTGTTCTGAACAAATATGTAAGGCATTTTTTTATTAAATGCAATCTAGAAAAAAATCTCTTGTTTATCACTCTTGCTTTTTTGTGTTGTGAGAAAATATAATAAAAAAAGAAGCATGTATTGAGCTCCAGATTTATAAAGAGATAAATAAAACTATTTCTGAAATCTCCATTTCAACAAGTGAAATAAGAGTATCTGGCTAAAACGGTTGACAGTATGTACATCTAGTTTAAAGCAGTACTTTAAAAATTCTACTTTTGTACAGAGTGCAATGTTACGGTCTTAAATAAATGTTGACTCAACTTTTTGACCCCATTATAACATGACTGAACTGTATTGTGTTATGCCAAGCGCACACCCTAAGAGTTTCAGATCTTTTGAAGTGGCATTCTGTGGAAAGGTTTTAAACAGTTCTCTTATTTATTGTTGATAGCTCTTTGAACAGCTACCGTTGGGAAAAAAGTTTATTTTCACTGAAACAAACCACGGGTCAAAATTAATTTATTAGCCGTGCTGTGCCTTATGAGAGGAACAGTGAGAGATGCTGCGACATTAATAAAGCAGCAGCTTATCATATTGAAGGCACGGTCCTTAGCAGCTAACAAGACTTTAGCGATATGATAAGCTGCTGCTATATTAATGTGGCGCTGCCTCTCACTGAAAAACTTGAAAATCTGTAGAGTTCTTTTTCTGCCTGTCCAACTTCACACAGCCTCACTGTGCTTCACACATGCTTACTAACATTGTGAAGGCAGCGCAGCTGAAGAAGATTATTATTTAATATATGTACAATAAATAGTTAATTTTTTTAGACATTTAGCAGCTGTTTGTTAATAAATGTGCCTGTGTGACAATTGGGACAAAGTTTTGACTCAGAAATATATTATTGTTATTACGTTATGGGAAAAAAATAATTATTAATTCAACCTTTATTTAAACAGATTAGTCTTGTTGCGCCTTGGGACTCATTTACAAGAAAGACCTGTTTTTAACAAATAATAATGACCACAGTAGACAATTATAAAAGAAAGCATATGAACTGAAAAAAAAATAAATGGAAGAAAATGAAAATGAATAAAAAATCTGCACAAATTGTTTTATTTATTTAGGTCAAAGTGTTTTATATAACACTCATGAGTTAAAATGTGGCTGATCAATTTGAATTTATTATTATTTATTGATTATATTTTATTTTTCAGTATCAAATGGTCAAAAATGTTTAGTTTAAATAAGGATTTTTTTCAGTCAAATTGATGCACTTTAAGTTGTTTCTGTTACAGACTAAAAAAACAATGTTAATAAAGTTGGTCTTTGTTGGAAGTTACCATACCATACCATACCAATATATTTATAAAGCACTTTAAACAGTGACAAAGCACACCAAAGTGCTGTACAGGGACAAACAGAACAAGCACATAGCAACAGATTACATAACAGGACACCAAAAAGTAGAAACCGACACAAACAATAATGGATAACAACAACAACCGCAACATGACTAACACAGTGTGATGCACACAGACTCAGCACAGATCACACAGTGCAGAAAGCCAAGGAATAGAAGTGAGTTTTTAAGCGAGATTTAAAAACTGTGAGGGAGGGGGCCTGTCTAACGAGCAGAGGTAACTCATTCCAAAGTCTTGGGCCTGCTACAGAGAAGGCCCTGTCACCTCTTCGCTTGAGACGGGTTCCTGGGACTGTTAGGAGCAACTGGTCTGCTGATCTGAGAGAACGTGGTGGGACATACGGCTGGAGCAGATCAGTAAGATAGGAGGGGGCAGAGCTGTTTAGTGATTTATAGACATACAAGAGTATTTTGAATTTGATTCGACGGTGAACCGGAAGCCAATGTAGGGAGGCCAAAACAGGTGTAATGTGCTCTCTTTTGCTTGTGCTGGTCAAAAACCGGGCTGCTGCATTTTGGACCAGTTGGAGTCTAGCTATGGAGGTCTGACTGATACCAAAAAGGAGTGAGTTGCAATAGTCGAGCCTGGATGTAATGAATGCATGAATTACTGTCTCCAGGTTATTTTTGGACAATATGGGCTTCAGCTTAGACAGTCGCCTCAGCTGGAAAAAGCAGGATTTAACAATCATATTTACATGATTGTTGAGTTTCAGACAAGGGTCAAGTATCACTCCTAGATTAGTGACTCTTTGTTTCACTAACGGTGACAGAATGGATAGGTCGATGTAGTGGTTGGTGATTGTGTCATTGGGAGGAAACAGCATAACTTCAGATTTCTTCTCGTTGAAACTCAAGAAATTTAAAGCCATCCCATCTCTGATGTCAGCCAGGCAGTCCAGTAACGGTTGAATAGAGCGAGTACCGTTGAGTCTGAGGGGGAAGTAGATTTGGCAGTCGTCGGTGTAGAAATTAAAAGGTATGTTATGTTTCCTGAAAATAGCACCTAGTGGCAGCAGGTATAAAGAAAATAAAAGAGGACCAAGGATGGACCCTTGCGGTACCCCCCATTTAAGCGCTGCCGAGGCTGAACTAAAATCTTTGATGGAGACACAAAAGGACCTGTCAGCGAGGTAAGATCTAAACCATTCGAGGGCTGACCCAGTGATGCCCACCCACTGCTCTAACCTCGCAATGAGGATCTCGTGGTCAATTGTATCAAAGGCAGATGTGAGGTCCAGTAAGAGAAGGAGCACAGAATCACTAGCGTCTGTGAATAGTGTCAGATCACTTCCGGCGAGCTGATGGACAGCAGATCCCTCCGGCTTTTCTGCAGTCTTTTATCATCAAACTGACCCGTTTTTTTCGAACCGGACTAAAGTTGGTCCTCCTTCCAATCGAATTCGGTGTTCAGTGACTCAGAGAGCCGGACAGGACCGTCCAAAAAATATTTTGGCCCAGGACCGATCGGCCGCTCCCCCCCCATCGGTCACTCTGAGCGCACCCTGCCGGCCAGGTGACCCCTTGAGCTGGGGAGTCGACGCACGAAGGTCCGGTGTTTTTTTCTTTCTCTCTCTCTCTGGACCTCAACGAACTCTTATCTGGACCTTTGTGGTTCTACCTGGTTCCGACAAATATCGCAGGGTGGTATTTCGCTCGTTTTCAGCTGGACTGGCCCTCATGGTGTCTCCATAGGTGTGGGGGAAGTGTACCTGTGTCCCTCGAATTGGACCAGAACCGAACCGAGGTGGCTGTGGGGGAATTCGTCTTCAACAGAGCCGGTCTCAGCTTCAGTGAGCAGCCCGTTACTTTTTACTGAAGGATGATCCACCTCCGTGGAGTCGTTGTGTTCACCTGGAGGAGACGCTCCAGTGCTTTGAAGCGCCGCCAGACCGGAGCAGAACCGCGCCGCCGGACTGGGCTGCCGGACCGGAGCAGAACCGCGCTGCCAGACTGGGCCGCCGGACCGGAGCAGAACCGGGCCAGGGATATCTTCAGCCTCTTCGTCTCTCGTGCTTGGAGCGCCGGAGCCGAACTGGAGCAGAACCGGACCGGACCAGTTGCCGACTTCAGCCTCAGCCTCTCCGGTCAGTCTCGCTTTTCACCGGGGGTGCCCCGTGCTGTTCGGGTGCTGAGAAGCGGAGGAGTAGCGTGAAGGAGAAGATCTGCGTGGTGCTCGAGAGAAGTTCGGAGTTTGTATCGGAGTTGCTGCAGGCCTCCATCCAAAATCACCTGGATAATAATTAATTTTATTCCAGATCACGCTGTTGGCCCCTGTTGACCTGAAACGAGCTTGGATCATGTCTTTCTCATCAGGAGGATTTTCTGGCAGCTCGCTCTGCTATTTGCTGCAAATTATCTGTTTCTGTTTCGGCCTGTTGATTCTGGACCCAGCATCTGTTTCTAATGGGAGCATCCATCCATCCATCCATCCATCCATCCTTCTTCACTGGGGGGCCGGAGCCCCCCTCAGCCCAACTCAAACTGCAGTTGGGCCAACTCGTCGGGTTTGTTGCCCATTTGAACTGTGACGTTTTATGGTCTGAAACTTTTCTGCATCATTCATATTATTGTCACTATTTTCAGTTCTCAGATTATCTGGAGTCACAGAATCTTGTTAATACACCTGAATCTGTTCTTCACTGCAACTTTCACTGTTTTTGGGTTCTGAAAGATCGCGTCTTCATTAATGTTCCTCATGGTTCGATTATGGGGGCTAATTGTCACATTGTTAACTCCTGTAATTACACATCAGTCACAAAAAACTCAAGAAAATGTCTGATAATAATGTTGTTATTGCTCTCAGGGATTCAGCCCAACCCTGGACCCCCCACTAATTACAGCACACCAAATGACTTTAAAAATGCCTCTGGGCTTCATTTTCTGCATGTAAATGCTCGTAGCCTTCTGAAAAAACTTGATGCTGTGAAAATCCTGATCAGTTCTTCTGGGGCAGATGTTATCTTTATTTCTGAATCCTGGCTCAACAAATCTGTAACGAATAATGACGTGGCAATCAATGGATTTAACATCTACCGCTGTGATCGTCAAAAAAGGGGGGGTGGAGTCATTATTTACATTAGAGATTCTCTGGTTTCAAGTCTTGTGTCTTCCAAAACAATTCCAAACCTGTTTGAAGCCTTATCTGTAAAAATCACCTTGAATGGAGGCCAGATTTTAACTGTAGTAGGTTGTTATCGCCC